CGATCCGTGGCACTAGTCCCGGCCAGCAGGAACCAGAGCCAGGAACCTGCTGATTCAGTCCAGCAGGTTCCAGCCAGCAGATGGAGCGAGCCACTCCTCCTCCTTCTCCTCCTCCTCCTCCTCCTCCTCCTCCCCCTCCTCCTCCTCTTCCTCCTCCTCTTCCTCCTCCTCTCCTCCTCCTCCTCCTCCTCCTCCTCCTCCTCCTCCTCCTCCTCCCCCTCCTCCTGCCCCCTCCTCCTCCTCCTCCCTCTCCTCTCCTCCTCCTCCTCTCCTCCTCCTCCTCCTCCTCCTCCTCTCCTCCTCCTCCTCCTCCTCCTCCTCCTCCTCCTCTCCTCCTCCTCCTCCTCTCCTCCTCCTCCTCCTCCTCCTCCTCCTCCTCCTCCTCCTCCTCCTCCTCCTCCTCCTCCTCCTCCTCCTCCTCCTCCTCCTCCTCCCTCCTCCTCCTCCTCCTCCCCTCCTCCACCTCCTCCTCCTCCTCCTCCTCCTCATCCTCCTCCTCCTCCTCATCCCCCTCCTCCTCCTCCATCGGTGGAGGGGGAGGAGGGCCGCGGATGGCACGAGCCAGGTCGTCGACGTCCACACCACGCCCCCGCTGCAGCCGCCAGCGGTGGCGGGCGACGAAGCCCAGTGAGGCATGGGCGCGCCCGCTCCCTTCTGGCCTCCCCCGCTCCCGAGGAGGAGGAGGAGGAGGAGGAGGAGGAGGAGGATCAGGAGGAGGAGGAGGAGGAGGAGGAGGAGGAGGAGGAGGAGGAGGAGGAGGAGGAGGAGGAGGAGGATGAGGAGGAGGAGGAGGAGGAGGATGGGGGATGGGGGAGGGGGAGGAGGAGGAGAATGAGAAGGTGGAGACGCAGGTCTTCCGCAGCGGGCTGGCGTGGCAGAGGCTGGCGCGTGGCGGGCTTCCCGCTCCCAGCCTGGACGGGGGACCTGCCGCCGCCGCCGCCGTCGTCGGGTTCGACCGCGACAAACCGTGGGAGGCCGCCAAGAGAGTGCACGTTGCCCTTCTCCGCGACCTACCACTTCGCGGCGCGGGCCCGGGGGACGGCGCCGATTGTGGAGCGCCGTGGAGTCGGAGCTCCGCATCGCGGCGGCGTTCATCGTTTTCGGGCACGTGGACTGCTGGCGACGAACTGACCCAGTGGCGCAGGCCACCGTCGCCCGCGGCGCCACCGACCGCGACGCCGGCGGGATCGGCGTGTCGCGCCGCGCCTGGGACCCAGGCGACGTCGCCCGGGCTTGCGCGCAGGCGGAGCGGTGGACGCACCACGTCGCCGAGGCCATCCGGGCGCGGGTCCCAGCGCGGGTGCGCTGTCGGGCTCTCAGACCTTTCCGCCTCCGCCCTCGCAGCTGGTGCGCAACAAGAAGCAGAGGGTGGAGAGGGGCAGCAGGTGCCCGGGCGACCCATGGCCTGTCCAAGAATCGGTCACACCCGTATTCGGGACTCCGCTGGGCACCTCGGACTTCGACCGGAAGTTCGGCGACATGTGCTCGGGATCCGTCCAGTCTGGCTAGATGAGCTCCAGTTGCGTCGGCAGTTTCGACCCGCGGCGGCTTCAGGGTCAAGGATTGGTTCTGCGCGGTTGATTACATCATCCACTTCGGTCACGGGGTCGTGATCGGTACTCGTCGCCAACTTCGCGCGGTCTCACGGCGGGGGCGATGCTCGTGTTGCGCGACAACTTGGGCCTCGTCCCATTGCGAGCTGGACTTGCCGCGAGGTCGCCGCGTTAAGCATCTAGGAGACGTGTGCGCGACGATCCGCTGGTTTCCCTCGGAGCTCAACCCGGCCGACTGGCTATCTCGCGCGACGGTGCCTTTGGCTCGGGACCCGCGGCGGGACCCGCGGAACGCGAGCTTCAACCCCGCGCGCGGGAGCAACCCGCTGTCGAATACTCGTCCCCCTCGCCGCAGTCGTCGTCGCGCTGCCTGATAGGTGAGATCAACTGCCTGTGCCGCCCGCTGGCAGGCGGCGCCGGCCTGGGCAACGCATTGCGGAGGGCCCGCTGCCCGGCGGGCCTGGTCATCTCTTCGCCTCAGCGGAGGCCCGAGGCGCCTGCCGTGGCAGTCGCTGCCCAAGCGGGGATCCTGCGGCGCGGGGCGCGGGGCGGCTATTCGACAGCCGGCGCCGACGACGGCTCGAGCTCTGGCACGGGCGCCTGCAGGGCCGAGATCCAGCTGGTCGGCGACCCCTGGAGCGGCGAGCCAGCGAGGGGGAGGACGACGACGAAGGACGGGGCGGAGGGGGTGGAGGAGGAGGGGGGGGGAAGAGAAGGAGGAGGAGGAGGAGGAGGAGGAGGAGGAGGAGGAGGAGGAGCAGGAGGAGAAGCAAGAGGAGGAGGAGGAAGAGGAGGAGGATCCAGCCAGGTCGGCGCGCGGCCCGCCGCAAGGCGTCGGCGGCGGACTCGGCCCCCCCTCGCGCTGCTGGGCGGACGCCGCAAGGAGGGCCCCTGGACGGAGGCCCCTTGGAGAGCGGGCGCGTGAACAGCAAGAGCCGCGCCACCCAGACCCCCTCGAGTTATGAAAAAAACACGACGGGAGGTTTTTCGCCATTTTCGGCCTCTGGGGGACCTTACCGGGCCTCGGGACCGTCAAAAAACGACTCGGGATGAAAAACGGGTCCCGGGGAATGGGTCTGGACCTCTAGGGGTCGCGTCATGAAGAAATCATAATCGGCGGCGGTCTGGGCACGCTGTGCCTGTAGGTCCGCGCGTTCCGAGCGCGGTGCCCGGGGCGCCGCAGGGGCGCGCGTTCACGGGCGGCGCCGGGCGGCACGGTCGTGGAGCACCTGTGCTGCCTACAGCCATAGCCGGTGTCCGGCCTGGCCCGGGAGCCGAAGTTCAGGCGCGGCCGGGAGGCGAGCATTTTCCGCGCCCGAGCTGCCTTCCAGGGCTTTCGCCGCCTGGCGCATGCGCCAGGCGGCCGCCTTTGCCGCGGCCAGAGTTCGCCGCGCTGCTCGGCGCGGGGTGGACATCGGCCTCGGCCCCCTGATCGCGTGGGGCGGCGGCCTGCGGCTGCCGATCGACATCGCGAGCCTGCGGGGGCGGTCGCTCCTCCCGCCGCCGCCGGGCTCAGGCGGCAGCAACTGGGGCCTGCTCTTCTGCCCCGCCAGTTGGAGGCGCGGAGCAAGACTGGCAGCGAGGGCGAGGGGCCCCTGCTGGGCGGCAAGTTGACGGCCCGGCTCTCGGCTCAGCGGCGGAGGCCGAGGCGGGCGGCGGGCGAGACGGGCCGCCTCCCGACCCTTCGCCGCCCCAGTGTTCAGAGCGGGCTTCGAGGAGGTGGCCGCCGTGATGGGGCGGCCGTCTCTGCGACTTGACCGAGTTCAGCACGGGGCGGTCAGCGACGGCTCGATGCGCCGCGGGCGGGCGCTGACCGAGACCCTTGGAGCGGCTGCGACGTTCGCGCCCGAAGAGCACGTTGCGCTACAAGAAGCACGCCTGATGCGTCGCCGAGCCTGGCAAGGCGCCGCCCCAGGTGAGGTCGCGCGGCGAGGCGGTGGGGGCCCAGGTCACGGCGCTCCTGAGCGGGCGCCCAGCGCTGCTGCCGCCGGCCGATCTGGCCGCGACCGCGCGCTGAAGCTTGGCCGCTCTCGTCGTCTGGGCGACGCGCTGGTCCGCGACCGGGCGCTGTCCGCCGCGGACCTGTGGGCTGGCTTGAGCGAGGCCGTGCGACGTGAGCTGGGCGGCGCCGCCTCCTGTTGCCGCGATCTGTTCTCAGGCGCGGGCGGCGTAGCCCGCGCGAAGCGAAAGCTGCCGTGTCTTTGCGTCGAGATGGACACTCGTCGCAGCGGTTTTTGACGATCCTGCTTCGGAAGCTGTCGGGGAGGCAGTTGCCGGCGGGATATTTGGTCGTTTTGTGTTCGCTGTTTTCGCCGCCTTCCCGTGCTCGACTTGGTCTCCAGCTGCCCTATGGGCGCCCGCGCTTGCAGGGTGCCGCTTTGCAGCGCCTGCTTGTCGGTAGTGCCGCGCTGGCAGTCACTCGGATGGTAATTTGCGCTTGGGTTCACCACGAAGTGCCAATCGTCTGCGAGAGCCCTGTCAGTCAGCAGTGAGCTCTGGCAAGACCCCGTGAGTTTCCACCTAAGTAGTCGCGCTCGCTGCATAGATGTCATGTTCGACACGTGGCAGTTCGGGGCGCTGTGGGACAACGCGCTCGCATCCGTTCGTGGAGTCGCGTCCCGCCGTCCGGCCCGCTGCGCGCCCGTTGACAGAGATCGCGCGCGCGGTCTCTGCGCGCAAACTGGCCAGGCGCACCTTTCCATCCAAGGGCCAGGACCCCGTGGCGCGACGTGGCGGAAGCGTGCTCAGTCAGCTTGTCCCGACAGACTGCGCGTTGGAATGCCCAGAGTGTGGAGGAAATTTCGGCCGTCCTTTCAGACGTCTCGCGAATTGTTGAAGCACGCGGCCCTCCAGGGCGCAGAATGTGCTTGGGCCGAGGCGGCCTTGCTCTCAGCTGGCATGCAAGAAACCACTCGAGTGAACACACGTTGTCGTCCGGTGAAAATGGCTGGCATGCATCGCACTGTGCGCGTTCTTGATTGTCCCATTATGGTCGCTACGCGGGAACAAGGTTACGAGATGTGTTTCATCTGCCACAGAGGCGGTGGAACGCAAGCACGGCTCGAGGCGTACACTTTTCCAGGCCATGTCTGCTATGGCTCGCACGCGTCGTTTCTTTGTCGCCGTGCTCTGTTCAAGCCTTTTCCCCTCGCCCCCTCCAGCCGCCTTTCCTCCAAGGGAGGAGAAACCACCCGGACCGGACGATTGGCGTTTACTGAACGGCCCTAGGGATTTACTAAACAGCCCTGCCCTGTTCGGCTCCTTCCGTGGGCGCGTCTACTCGAGGCCTCGCGTGTCGGGGTGGTCACTGTCGGGGTGGATTTTCTGCCCTCTGTACTGCGCACCCGCTCTCAGCTTGCAAGCAAGAGCCCGCCCGAGTGAGCACACGCTGCGTCTCGTCGGGGAGGGCCGGCTCGCCGTCGCCTCTCCGCCGCCCGGGCCGTCGCCAAGGATCCAGGCCGCGCAGAGCAGGGCAGGGAGGAGCCTGCAGGGTAAAGGTAGCGCCAGCAGAGACAGCAACTGCAACTCCATTTTCAGAGAGCCAAGCGACGACATAAGCATAACAAGCTGGAGGTGCGCAAGGGAGGGGGCTTCAACGCGGATCCAAGGAATCCCCGCGGAGGTCTGAAAGTTGATGGTTGTGTGTTTTTCCTGTTTCCTCTCGTAACAGCAGTCCCAGAGCAGAAACATGACACTGCAATCCCGAGGTGGTACTGACGTGTGCTGTCAGCGGGCGAGCCGGCCCTTGATAGCCAAGTAATTCGCACGTGTAAGGCATTTGCTTGCACTTTCGCAGAGGATCGTCAAAGCTTGCGTTCGCGGGAACGGTTGCTCGGGCTTCAGGAGTTGCAGCGGCAGTTCTATTTGCCGCTCGTTGTCGGTCTGTACGTCAGCCCATCCTCGTTGAGTCGTCAACAGATTGGTTTCAGGAGGAAAAGAAACACACAGACACAATTAATCCTCGATTCCCCAGAAAATATGGGAAAATATGGGAAGTGGTGGGGAAGACAAACACCCAGACAATATGGGAAAATCTGGGGGATCATTTTATTTGTGTGTATTTATTTGTGTGTCCTTG